TGATCGGGATCGGCGCCGTTACTGGTTTTGCCGTCGTCGTTGCCATCATCGCCACCAGCGTCGCTACTATCATTTGTTCTACCGTTGTCGACGTTGCGATGCTACCGCGCCCGCCAAAGTCGCCGACTCGCACTGAAGTGCCCGTTGGGAAGTGCCCAGCGGTCTGCGCCAGCGCGGCCGCGTCGGCCGCGCCAAACTAGCTGGCCGCGGCGCGCGCGAGCATGCGCGGGCTGGCGCGGCCGCAGAGATGAACCAGCAAACACCAAACAATCATCGCAACCGCCGCCGCATGGGCTGTTGCAAGCCAAGTTGCTGGTGGGTGGGTGATTTGTTTTGCAAGGACATGGAATGTGTTGATTCGTTTGTATTAGTCAGTTACACCACGTAGACTTCGCCACGTAAAATGTCCACACCGATTTCTCAGGTTGGGTTCTCTTTTCTAAAAACAGAATAGGATCTACCCCCCCCCGGCGTTATCGCCCCCCTGTTCGGATATGTAAATCATTTGAGATTATGTCCACATGCCCATCCTAAATATGAGATCGCAATGTCCCGGGCCAGCCGGCATCCCCCCCTCAGGGTCCCTGGTGAAAGAAAAAACAATATGCGGTGACACTTTTTGTTCTAGCATAACATTTTCTTTCGCGACTCCCTTGCAACAAATGCGACGAAGTGTGCACGCGCGCGTCGTCGCGCGCGCATGCCGAAATCCTTCAAAAACCTTCGGTGCCGGAATGATTTCGCAATCGAGTTTCCAAAAAACATGCAAAAACACATATGTTCGCAACATTGATTTGCTAAAAAACTTCCGCGCGAATTCTTGCGAAATCTTAAGACAACCATCGGTTTTTCAATCTATTCACAACATGCTGCTGAACGGGCTTCGCGCGCGCATGTCGAAATCTGTCGAACGCTCTTGCGCGTGTGCCGTCGCGAGAATCCTATGCAAAAAACTGGGACGAAGTACAGACGCGCGCGTCGTCGCGCGCGTACGCCGAAAACCTTCAGCACCCATCGGTTTCGGAAGGATTCCAAAATCGTGTGTCCAAAAAACCTCGGAACACCCACAAGGTTTCGCAACACGGATTTTCAACAAAAGCGTGCGCGCGCGCTCTTGCGTCGTCGTCGTCGTCGTCGTCGCCGTCCTCCCTCTTCCCGCGTCGTCGTCGTCGTGGTCGCCTACGTCGTCCTCTGTCTTTCCTCGTGTTCGTCGTCGTCGTCCTCTTTGGCGTCGTGGTCGTTTCCGTCGTCGTTGTTGCCGTGGTCGTCCTTCCTCCTCCTCCCTCGTCGTCGTCGTCGTCCGTCGTCGGCGTCTCGTCGTCGTCCCTCCTATTTCGTCGCCGTCGTCGTCGCTGTTGTCGTCGTCGTCTTCCCTCCTCCCTCGTCGTCGTCGTCGTCGGCGCCGCCGTCCTTCCTCCTTTTTCGTCGTTCGCGTCGTCGCCGTCCTCCCTCCTCCCTCGTCGTTGTCGTCGTTGTCGTCATTGTCGCCGTCGTCGTCCTTCCTCCTCCCTCGTCGTCGTCTTCGTTGGCGACGTCGTCGTCGTCTTCGTCGTCGTCGGCGTCGGCGTCGTTGGCGTCGTCGAAGTCGTCGGAGACGACGTCCGTGTTGTCGTAGTCGCCGTCGTCATCGTCGTCGTCGTCGTCGGCGGCGTCGTTGACGTCGTCGTCGTCGTCGTCGGTGTCGTCGTTGTCGTCGTCGAAGTCGTTGGAGACGTCGTCGGTGTCGTCGTAGTCGGTGTCGGTGGCGCCGTCGTCGTCGTTGTCGCTGTCGTCGTCGGCGTCGGTGTCGTGGCCAAGTGTCATGTGGTACGTACCGTCACGGTCTTGTCCTAAGAGGTCTTGCGACCAAGTTGCTGGTGGGAGGGTGGGATGTTTGCACGAGCAGTGGAGAGGACAGCTTCAAGACGGCCAAATATTAATTACACCACGTAGATTGCTCCACGTAGACAGTACAACATGGTTTGGTCCACGCAAAAAGCTAGGCACACACAGTTGGGGTCCACGGAGGCTGTAATGTGTATTACTATGTGAAAAAATGTGTTCTACCGCTGCTGGCGGAAAACCGGGCGGGGGTCACTGGGGGCTCCCATCCCGTCCCCCCCCTCGAAAACCATGGGGGTCTCCACAGGTTCGACCCCCCCCCCTCGCCCTTCCCCATAGTCCATCATGAAAAGGGAGGTGGGTCACTACTGGTTCGACCCCCCCCCGTCGCCACCAGCAAACGATTCCCGCTCCTCGGGACATTGGTGGGGACATTGGGACAGTGGTCGGGACGGTGGTGGTGGGGACAGTGGTGTGGGGACGGTGGGTCAGTGGTGGGGACAGTGGGACAGTGGTTGGGACGGTGGTGGTGGGGACAGTGGTGAGGGGACAGCGGGACAGTGGTGGGGACTGGTGGGGACTGGGGACAGTGGGACTGTGATGGGGACGGTAGTGGTGGGGACAGTGGTGAGGGCGATGGTGAAGACGGTGGTGGGACAATGGGACAGTGCTGCAGTGGGACAGCGGCGGGGACAGTCAAGACAGTGGGACAGTGGCGGGGACAGCGGAGACTGGGACAGCGGGACATCGGCGGGGACAGTGGGGACAGTGGGACAGCGGCGGGGACAGTGAAGGCAGTGGAACAGTGGTGGGGACAGTGGGGACAATTGGAGAGAGTGGGACTGTGGAAGGACAGTGGTGGGGACAGTGGGGACATTGAGACACTGGTGGGGGCACTGGTGGGGACAGCGGGGACAATGGTGGGATGGTGTGGGGACACTGGGACAGTGGCGGGGACAGTGGGGACAGTGCGACAGTGTTAGGGACGGTGGTGGCGGGGACGGTGGTGAGGGCGGTGGTGAGGATGGTGGTGGGACAATGGGACAGTGGCACAGTGGGGACAGTGATGGGGACAGTGGGGACAATGGTGGGAATAGTGGGACAGCTCAGTGGGACAGCGGCGGGGACAGTGGGGACAGTGGGACAGTGGTGGGGACAGTGGGGACAGTGGGACAGTGGTTGGGATCCACCGTGGGGAAAGTGGGGAGAGTGGGACCGTGGTGGGAACATTGGTGGGGACAGGGGGGACAATGCGACAGTGGTTGGGGCACTGGTGGGTACAGTGGGGACAACGGTGGGAACAGTGGGGACACTGGTGGTGGGGGACGGAGGTGTTGGGGACAGCAGTGGGGGATGTGGTGCGGTCGGTGGTGGGGACCTGGGAGTCGTTTGCCGGCGGTGAGTGTGTGGGGGGGGCGGGGGGTTCAAACCGGTAGTGATCCCCCTCAGTTTTTTGGAGGGGGAGGGTCGAACTGGTATTGACCCCCCGGTTTTCCGGACGGTGGGGGGAGGGTTTAATGGGGGGAGGGTGGTGTGGGGGGAAGGGGGGAGGGGTCCAGCAGGGGGGGCACCCCCAGGTTCCGGAGGAAGAGGTGGGGAATTTTCCAGAATATAGCGGGGTGGGCTAGCTCTCTCGAATTAATTATCATATAATATTATAGTTGTAGATGTTGATATATATATATATGTATATAGGTATATGTATATTTATGTGTGTATGCATGTCTGTCTGTCTGTAGGAATGTATGTATGGATGCATGCATGTATTTACTCATGTGTGTATGTGTGTGCGTGAATGTACGGATGCATGAATGTATGTATGTATGCCCGGTTGCCTGTCTGTCTATATGTATGCATGCATGTATGCATGTAGGTAGGTACAAGTGTTTAGGTATGTTTACATGTTTGCATGCATGCATGTATGTATGGTTTTGTATGCATGTATGTCTGTATGTATGTAAATATATGCATGTATACATGTATGTATGTATGTACGTATGTATGTATGTATGCATGTATGCATGCATGCATGTATGTATGTATGTATGTATGTATGTATGTATGTATGTATATCGGTATTTATGTATGTATGTATGTATGTATGTATGTATGTATGTATGTATGTATGTATGTATGTATGTGTGTGCATGTCTGTCTGCCTGTCTGTCTGCTTCTCCGTCGGTATGTACGTATGCATGTATGTATGTGTGTATGTATGTAGTTCTGTATGTATGCATGTCTGCCTGTCTGTATGTGTATACGTATATATTTACATATATACATATGTAGATGCATGCATGCATGCATGCATGTATGTATGTATGTATGCATGTAAGTATTTATGTATGTATGGTTGGGCTTACGCGTGTTTTCGTGTTCAGTGTTCAGACATTATCAAACAGGCAATGGAGGGAATGCATATCGGGAGTTGGCGCGAGGGAGGATCGGAAATACCGGCAGGATTGGTTGAGCGGTTGAGGTGCGAGGCCAGGACGAAGGGAAAACAACCCCAGGGCAAGCGCGACTGCGAGGAGGAGGGGAAGGCGAGGATCGAACCTTGCAGCAGCAGTTCTTGTGCCGGCTTGGTGATGTTTCCAGAGACCCGTGGGTTGCGGCGGGATCAGCTGGGCCAGTTGAGTAGATGTGCCGAGCTGGCTCGCATGGGGCCCGATGCTGCAGAATTCTTGCGGGAGCGGCGATTGACGCTGACCATGGAGGCGGCGATTCGATGGCGCTGATGAGGTTGACGGTGAGCGAGCGCGCGTGCAGGCGTACAATAAATCTGGCAGGCTTAATGTTGAGTACAGATGGTTTTCACAACCGTTTGAAGAGCTCTGTCTCGAAATGTGTCGGACACGGAAGGTTTGTGAACAGAACGTAGTTTTGACACGCATGCGTGGTTGCGCGCTCCGTCGATGCCCCTTCGGGCCCCAGACCGCCCCCCGTTCAGCGTGATGCCACCGGGTTTCGGATCGGCGGGCTGCGGGCCTTGCCGCGAAGGGCTTCCTCCGTGCTTTCGCGCCCCCTCAGTGTGAAGGGGGATGAGGAGGGTCGGGGGAAGTGGGGGGAGGAGGACTTGGAGCAGGAGGCTGGGGACGATTGGCCACTGCAGGATCGGGCACGTGGTTGCCAAGCTCGGCGGAGGCGGGGCCAGGTGCCTCCGCACACGTGCGGCGTCCATGTGCAAGCCGCCGTGGGTCGACGCGTTGTCGCCAAGTGCGCGGTGCTGCGATGAGGCTGCTCGCGTCGACACGGACCGAAGCTTTGTGGCCTCCTCTCCATGTTTTTCGGCGGCGAGCCCAGAGGAAGTGAGAAAGGGCAGGGCTCCTCAGGAGGCTCGGACGTCCCCCGGCCTTCTGAGAAGTTTTCTGCGCCTTCCCCGAAGAGACATAAATTCTTAACGCTTCGCGTATCCCCACCAGTCCGTCGTGCCACGTCACGTGGTTACACCACACGTGCATCCTCCAGGCTGTGCTGCTCTTGGCAAGTGACAGCGCAGTCCCCCATCAGAGGTCTGGCGTGTTGTTCCCCCTGTGGTCACTGAAGGCCCTCCGCAGGGAGCGGTGGAGGGCCCAGAGGCGACTCCGACCACCCAACATCGACATTGGTGTTGCCTCCTCCTTCTCCTCCTTCAATTCACCGGATTGTGCGGCTCTCGGCTGCGTCTCCCCTCCTCCTCCTCCTCTTGTGCTGATGCGGCGCGCAGTGCCGCTCGAGTTCCCCACTACCAACCAGATCCACCGGAGCACTCGGACATCTATGGGCACCTGGAGGCTCACCGACAGGGCTCCGAGGCGCATGCGGGCAGCAGCGGCTGCCAGTGATGATCTGGGCAGCCATGGTCAGAAACAGTCTGTCCCCGCAGGCACGGGCTCCTCCAGCCCCTGGAGCGGGCGCGGATCGCCCGCGTGGACTAGGTTTGGCTCGCGACGCTCCAGGTGCTGGGCTTCGGCAAGGTGTAGATCTGCGCGCCTCCCCGCTCCGGCATCACCTGAGGCCGGACCCGAGGTGAGCGCTGTCCTGGCAAGTGGTTCATCCTTTGGCAGGTCACCGCTGTTCCCCCAGCAGGTCCGCCCCTGTAACCTCGGTTGACGCTCGCACGTTGTGCCCCCGTCCCCCGTGACGGATAAGTTGTCCGCGTTGTACGCCGACGACGTGGACGACTCGCTTCCCACGGCGGGCGCCGCCTTCGAGTTCTTGCTACTGCCCAAGTGGTATATCATTTGGCAGTTAATCTCGGCCCTCCCGCAGGGTGGTCCGGGGTTCTCGACCAGGGCTTGCAGCTGTATCCCCCCCGACTTTCAGAGTCAGGCATGCTGACAGCAGAGGCTGCCAAGGAGTGATCTGGACAGCGATGGTCAGCGACAGTCTGGCCCCGCAGGCACGGGCTCCTCCAGCCCCCGCGACGGGGCGCGGATCGCCCGCGAGGGCACGCGTGGCTCGCGGCGTTCCAGGTGCCGGGCTACGGCAAGGTGCAGACCTGCACGCCTCTTCGCTTCGGCACCACCTGAGGCCGGACCTGGGGTGAGCGTATTCCTAGCAAGTGGTTCATCCTTTGGCAGGTCACCGCGGATCCCCCGGCAGGTCCGCCCATGTTACTTCGGCTGGCGCTCGCGACTTTGTGCCCCCGTCCCCTGAGACGGATAAGTTGCCTGCGTTGTACGCCGACGACGTGGGCGACTCGCTTTCCACGGCGGGCGTCGCCTCCGAGTTCTAGCTACTGCACAAGTGGTTTATCCTTTGGCAGTTCACCACGGCCCTCCCGCAGGGTGGCCCAGGGGACTCGACCAGCGCTTGCAGCTGCACCCCCCCGACTTTCAGTGTCAGGCAAGTTGCAGGCCGTGGACTCAGACAGGGCCGCCGGTTTCTTGAATAGGACGGTCGCTCGTGCCCGAGTGCATCCTATGAGTCCTTGTGAGTGAGGCTTCCACGTGTTCCCCCCTTCACCTGCCGCCGCGCGCCCTCGCGCTCGCCGTGCCTCTCCTGTTCCTTGGTCCCCTCTTCGTGTTGGGCGGTGCGGCCGCCCCGGCCCCTCCGTGCCGCCGCAGCGCGGCGTGGTCCACGCCCGTGCGCGCTGTTCGGTACGGTCAGAGCTGGCGCCATTTGTGCGACTGCTCCTTCCGTCCGTTTTCTAGTTTGGTGCCTGCGTTCCCCGATTCGGGTCGCCAGCGTCTTAATGGGGGTCATTTTGTCCCTGGCACGTGCACCCGCTGCTGCGGCCTATGGGCCCCAGCAGCTAATTTTCTCGCCCTGTGCCCCAGCCGAGACCGTCCCGCTCCCAGGAGTTGCCCTTGTGAGCCGCCAATCAATAAAGTATCCCCGCCAGGTCCGTAGCCCCTTGGCTCGAGCCTCTGGCTCAAGCCGCTCTGGCTCGAGCCGCGCGCCGCCAGGGGGCTCCTTCCTTTGCCCCTCCTTTCCATCTTGCCTGTTTCCCGCCTCCCTGGCATGGCCGGGGCTCCAGCCGCGGGCCCGCTGCAGGCGGCCGGCCCTTGGAGGAGGGCGGCCGCCGCAGGCGGGCACTGGAACACCGCTGCCGCGCCCCCGAGCGGACGCTGGCGCGCGTGGCGACCATGGGGCCAGCAGGAGTGGAAGACGCCAGCTGCGCGGCGACGGCGACAGCGACGTTCTGCCGCGGCTCGTCGGCCCGCGGCTCCAGCCGCGGACGCCGCGGGCGCCGCCGGCGCCGCCGGCGCCGCTGGGGCCGTCGCCGCGGGCTCGGCGGCCGGCGCCGCCGCCGGCAGGTCCTCCCCTCGCCGCGGCTCGGGCACTGCAGCGGGGCCCCCCCTGGCAGGCTGCGCAGGCGCTTCACCACTAGGCGGCGGTGCCCCCCACGCCCGCGGATCTCTTCGCTTCAGGGATCGGCGTCGCAGTTGCGCCTTGGGCACAGCCGCGTGGCTCTATTTGGCGCAGGGGGACAGATTGCTGAGGTCTGGGCGCCGCGTGGTTCAGCCTGCCGCGCCTGTACAGCCATCGGTTCTGAACGCAGAGCATTTTGTTCAGTGCATGTGCGACTGCGCGCTTGTTGTGCAATTAGCTTTGCGCCGCCCGCCCCGGACATTGCCTCTCGCGGCCAGACCGATGTCGCGCGGCCGCCGACCAAAAAGTATCCCCACCAGCCCCCCGGATCCGTCCCACCCCCAGCGTGGTTTTCGACGTTCCCTGGCGGAGCAGCTCAGCTGGCCCGCGCGCGCCGTTGGCGGGACCTGGGTTCGGCGCCCCGCTGGCGACTGCCCATCGCTTGCCACGTCTGGGCACTCAGACGGCATGTTGGACACGCTGCCCACAGCTATCGTCCTCGCGCTCCGTTTGGGCTTTCTGCCACTCGGCGCATCTTGAATTCGCCGGCATTTTGCCGTGTTGCAAGTGCTCGAGCACCCTGGGCGCCCTCAGCTTGCCGCTCCCCCCGCGCAGTCAGCCGCTGCTGGATGGGTGGGCCGGCCGGCTCGCGGCGCGTGTAGCTGCTAGGGCCTTTCAACTCGGCGCCTGCGCTTCCGCTTGCGCCCGCGAGGAAAAAATATCCCCGCTGGCCCATTTAGAAACAATCAGCAGGGGAGTTGGTGAATAGGGGGCGGCAGGACGCATGCAGTCGGGCAGCCGTATGCGGGAAAACAAGGATCACGCATAGCTTCCCGCGTTGAAGTTTAAGGTGGGAATCGGTGCGAGCTACGATGGTGCTTCGATGAGGGATGAGGGGTATCTCGACGACTCGTATATCTTAAACTCGCGTGCGTTTCGAAACTTCGAGCCATCTTGGGGCTCTCTTGGGGTTTTCGGGGAGCCCTCTTGGGGCCCTCGTGGAGCTCTTTCTTGGGGCTTTCTTGAGGTCCCCTAAGGGTCTTATTGGAGCCCTCTTTTGGTGCTCATCTGGGGCGTCTTGGGGCCCTCTTGGGGCTCTTTTGGGGGGTCTTGGAGCTCTCTTGGGGCTCTTTTGGGATGCCGGCGGGGCCTCTTGGGGCCGTCTTGGAGCCTTTCGCTAAAACAGAAGGGGGTTCTCAATTCCTGCCCCCCCCATCGGAGGCTCAAACATGCCGTCTTGGGGTTCTCTTGGCCCGCTCTTGGAGCGCTTTGGGGCGCTCTTTGGGCCGTCCTGGGGCCCTCTTGGGCCCCTCTTGGGGCTATCTTGGGCCGTCTTGGGGCCATCTTGAGGCCGCAGGAGCCCATCTGAGGCGAAAAAGCGAAACGGCAACAAACATGGAAGTTCCTGAGGTGTTTGAAGAATTTAGGCCTCTTGGCGGGGTCCTTGGAGGCTTTCGGAGGGCATTTGAAACCGTCTTGGGGCCGTCATGGGGCCTCTTGGACGTGTGTCGGGGGCTATCTTGACCCATCCACCGCTATCTTCGACCATTTTGGCGGTCATATTGCGCTTTCTAAGGCCCTCTTGGAGCCATGTTGGGCCATCTTGGGACGCTGCTATGGGTCGCGCCCCCCCCCAGTCCAAACGCATGGAGGGGGGGGTAAACCTCCCAAGCAGGGAAAAGGAACGCCCCATCCATCTGCGCCCAGAGGGCTGGTGTGATTCTTGACGCTTCGCGCCCGGCCTGCTGGCAGTAGTACTTGGGGCGCTGCCAATCGCTGGGGCAGGCGGCCGCCCCACCTCACTTCAAGGCGTAGCATAGCTAGACAGCCTCGGCTGGTTAGATGCGGGTGCAATGGCGCACGGACACCGCGCTCACATCCGCAAGTGCTTTCAGGCGCGCTGGGCGCTAGCGCCCCCCCCAGCGCTTGACTTGTCTCACCATTTGGGCAGGATGAGAAGGCCATCGGCCGTAGGCGCTGCAGTTCCCGACTGCGTTGCTCATTCGGCCATCGGCCGGCCCCCCTTTTTTTTTTTTTTTTTTTTTTTTTTTTTTTTTTTTTTTTTTTTTTTTTTTTTTTTTTTTTTTTTTTGTTTTTCTCTCTCTCTCTCTGTTCCCACTGGGAACGAAGTGGCGGCCGGCAGCAGTTTTCCGCGGGAAGGGTGAGACGGCCATCAGCCGTCGGCGCTGCAGTCTCCGATCAGCTTTGCTCATACGGCCATCAGTCATTCCCCTGGCTCGTCTCTCTCATTTTCTCTCTTTCTCTCTCACTTTCTGCTGGGAAGGACGTGGCGGCCATCAGCCACAGGCTCCTGCGTACAAGCGGTTCGACCGCCCTGGCAGACTCCGCACAGCGTCCCGTCCTGGCTACGCGTACACCGTTCACTTGCCCCAGCAAGCGCGGGCGTCGCCCAGGATATGGACCGCAGACAGCTGACCCGGGCCAGGTCCCAGCAGCG